CATAAGATGCTGATGCCCCACTGTGCCCCTCCCCCACTAGTAAAATCTTAGCTCTATGTATGCCATTGCTCCTTGGTGATACCCGCCATAGACTGGGAAGATGTTTGCACATGTATTAACCAATTTGGATCCTGGAGAGAGAGATAGAGTCCATTTGCTAAATTACTTGTGGATTTAATCATGAAGAAGTCAAGACACGTTAGGATTAAGGTGTGTGCTGTTCCGTAACAAAATAGAAAACAAAAATCTGTTTAACAAATAAGGAATGTGATTAAAATAAAATTCAGCCACAATACTACATACATGTAAGTGTGCAAAAAAATTGAAAAGAAAAGTCCGAGGGACTTCATTAGCTTGTGAATAACAGTTTTTCTGAGGAGTCTCATTACGCAGATGGAAGTACCACCTGTTATGTCGAGAAGCTTAGAGAATTTTTTTGCAGATTCCTGTCAGTAATTACACACATTTCAAGTCAACGTCACAGAATTTCAGGACGACCATTTAGAAAGCTAAGGACTCCTTGCAGGTACTCTGTGTCTCAGGAGGGATATCTGGCTGGATACGGTGTTGCTCCTCAATTACAACCTGTCTAGATTGACAGAGTACCATTCAGATGGGACAGCAGACTGGTTGGAATGACTCATCTTCAAATCTCATTGATTGTGCCAGTATCTTGGACAAGAAGATGTAGGATTATTTGCCATGTCTTATCAAGAAAGATTAAATTTAAAATGTTAATCTTTCTTGACAAGACATGGCAAATGTCCCCAAGCTTCGTCAATTATTAAAAATGCCAGAACATTTCGCAATAAAGAAAAACAGCAACTAAAGGTGTCTTTACAAGGTATGAGTGTACTTCAATAAAAACAAATTCACCAGGGAAGCTTATCACCATTTAAGACAAAGAATTATTGCACAATATTTTCCACAATCCTTTGAAATTACATGTACTTTGTTATCAAAAACAAAATTCACACCATTATTAAGCACGATTACCATAGTGCTTAATTCAACAAGTTTATATTATTTATATCAGTTTTATATTATTGATTTATGAATCTATAGATATCATATTTTCATCCTTATATCTTGTTTCACAATACCCATTCAAGTCACATGCATTTAGTAACTTCAATCTCAATAACCATCAGGAAAAAAAATGATGATTGAAAAAACTCCTAAGCACCAAACGTGCCTGCATTACTTCAGAAAAGCCCTATGTGGAATAGTAATGCATTCCCCCCACTTTAGGCCCCCTTGATAAATGCCCAGGCGCAAGGGGATATTACCGTGCGTGCACTCAGCTACATGTACGGGCATGTGCGGCGTGTTACAAGCCGAATTAATGGACCCTAAGAGTGTAACATGAACTCACTCTGTGCCTGGCATTAACATTTGTGAGAAATTCATTCCGTGTAAACGCAATGAGTGTTTGTCATCCTACTGACGACCTCCCTGAATGGCTGCTTTGGAAATGAATCTTAAAGGGGAGGCACCACGCCCCCTTGACTTTCATTCCAGGTTTGGCTTTCTGATAATTAAAAAAAAAAAGGGATGAGGAATATGAACGATAGAAGTTGAAGATACAAGCTACAAGAGAACTGAACAGTTTCTTAATTTATAATGGAATGTGAATATACCCTGCTTTATGATGTACATGTGTAGACTTTCACAAGCATTAGTAATAGAACTGAGCAGTTATAACTTGCTTGACATTTGTCACTTAAAAAGTGCCCTGAAAAGAAACCAAACAAAACCATCATAAAACAAATTTCAACAAAACAAAAAACACCAAACGGAAACAAAAACTGCTAGGAGGCCTATTTCTGGCTTCTGAAATTTTATCAGGGTGTCAATATTTCAGCTTCATGGGAGTATTATGCCCCCGACTGCCAATTATTAAATGTTCACCAACCTCTGAGACAGGTGCTTAATGAAATGACTTTCTCCTCATTGTGATCTTTATCACGTCGTTATCCCCATTAAACCTCATTATTCCCATTAATCTTCACTATTCAAACAATGAAGGTACATATTAAATGAAAAGGTTCATGTTAATTCAGCAAACAAAAGCATAAGAGTAAAGGAGTACCTAAAAGACA